ACTGCATAGCAAGACCCTATCTGAAAAAAGACAAATAAATAAATAAAATAAAATAAAATAGAAAAATAAGCTGGGCGTGGTGGTACACGCCTGTAATCCCAGCACTCGGGAGTCTGAGGCAGGAGGATCACTGCAAGTTTGAGGCCAGCCTGGGATACAAATTGAGCTCCAGGTCAGCCTGAAATGCACAGTGAGACCCTGTCTCAAAAACAAAAAAAAATAAATAAATAAAATAGAAAAAATACCTCTAATTTAAAACAAATAAGCAAAAGACTAACATTTCATGAAGATACATGAGTAACTACTAGACACAAATAAATGCTTGACATTATTATTCATGAAGGAAATATATATTAAATCCACAAATGAACTACCACCTTAAACATAATATAATCAGTAAAATTATAAACAGTAAATGTTGGCTAAGAGTGAGTAAACTATTCTACTTTACTAGTGGCAATATAAATGTCATAAATGCTGTGGAAAATAGTGTGGTGTTCTCTCTTTCTCTCTCAGCAGGGTTTCACTATGCAGTTCAGGGTGGCCTTAAACTCACAGCAATCCTCCTACTTCAGCCTCCTGAGTGCTGGGATTATAGGCAGGCACCAACACGCCCGGTAGGGCAGTTTCTTAACTGTATTTATTGTTGCTTGTTTGCCTGTTTCCTTGTTTTCTGAGACAAGGTCTCTCTATGTAGTTCAAGCTGGGATCGAACTCATGGCAATCTTTTTGCCCCAGCCTTCCAAGTACTGGAGTTATAGGCGTACACCACCATGCCCAGCCTGTTAAATATTCTTACCATATGACTCAGTAATTCCCAGAGGAGATAAAAACATGTCCACCCAAACGTCTGCATGCAAATGTCTCATGAGCCTTATAACACCCCCAAATTTTTAAAAAGCAACATAAATGTCTATCAAGAAATGAAGAGATAAAAAGTTGCAATGTAAACTGTGCATGGTGGTGCACATATAATCCCAGCACTCAGAGGTGGAGGCAAGAAGATTACTGTGAGTTAAAGGCCAGTTTGGGCTACATAGTGAATTTAAGACCAGCATGGACTACACAGTGAGACTGTCTCAAAAACAGAAAGTCGCAACGTATTTTTCATTAGATGCAACTTTGTTATTTCCCCTCACCCACAAAAGAACAAACAGCAGTCTAGACAAGAATCACACAAATATTATGCTGACTGAAAGAAGCTGGACATGAGAGTTCTTTTTTTTTGTTTTTTTGACACAGGGTCTTGCTATGCAGTTCAGGCTGGTCTTGAACTCGCAATGATCCTCCTGCCTCAGCCTCCTGAGTGCTTGGACATAAGCGTGTGCCACCACACCCGGCTGAGAGTTCATTTTATACTGTATTCCAGTCACACAAAATTCTAAAACAGGACAAAACTTAATGTACACTGGTAAAAATGAGGTCAGTAGTAGTCAGATATGGATGTTTGTATGGGGGATATTAACTGCAAAAATGGGGAAATGGAAATAAACTATTTTCTTAAGTAGGATGGTGAAACATGACCATTTTCATTTGTCAAAAATCATTACCCTATATACTTATATTGTACGGTTTTCTTTTATCTAAGTTACATCTGCTTAAGGCAAGTTGAAATGAATACATTTAACAGAGACATGGTAATTTTCAAAAAGGTAAATAAATTTTTTTGCGGGGGTGGGAGGAGGACTGGTGCTTGAAGGACCTCAAACACGGTAGATAAGCACTTTCCACTGAGGTACACACTCACTCCGTTTCGTCTTATTTTGAGACAGACTCTCAGTAGTTGTCCAGACTGGGCTCAACCTCACAAGCCTCCTGCTTCAGCCTACTGAATACTTGGGTTTATAGGTACATATGTGACACTGGACCTGGTGACAAATAATGTTTCCATATAGATGAGAACTGAAACTTTGAAATGCTAAATAAAGTGCTGAGGATATAGCTCAGCGACACAGTGCCTCTCTGGCAAGCACAAGGTCCTGAGTTCAACTCCCGGTACAAAAACAAACAAAAAAACTAAATATTTTTATTTTTAAGTGACATCAATAAGGGAATCTACTATGTAAGGCTGGATAAACCACCCTGAAAAATTAAATTTACAATATGATAAATTTCCACTTAAAATGAAACCAAAAGAAAGTGAGCAAAGTCCATGCTGAATCACATACTAGTCTAAGTTATAAATCAGTGGCAAATATAATCATTATGAGCATTTAATGGAGGATAGTTTTATATGCTTAAATATATTACTGCTTGCCGGGTGTGGTTGAGCACGCCTGTAATCCCAGCACTCAGGAGGCTGAGGCAGGAGGATTGTTGCGAGTTTGAGACCAGTCTGGGCTACAAAATGAGCTCAAGGCCAGCCTGAACTGCATAGTGAGACCCTGTCTCAAAAAGACCAAAAAA